CAGGATATATACTCAACTAGAGTCTCTTACCATCTGGTGTCCATGGTCCCCTTTCCAGGCTATACTCTAACTACTAGGACTTCAGGATTTCCTGCCCAAATGGCTTGAAGCCTGCATGGGTCTCTTGCTCAGGTACATCCCTGTGAGGGTAGACAGTCTCCTGCTTATGCATCTTCAGGTTGGAGGGGTGGCCAAGGGGTAGCTATTAGGGTGGAGTGTGGACCAAGCTTGGACATACAGACTGGCCTGCCCACATGCATGCATGCAAGCGATGGCCTTTGCAGTGCAGGACTGAGCAGCGGTGGTATACTGTGAGGGTCTTTATTGGTAGTCTGACCTTGGTCCCTGCAGGCCTGCCCACGAGTCTGCATGATGAAGATGCTGAGAGCAATGCCTGGCGATATTGCTGTATTCCATGTGCTGGCCCCCACTGGCACCCACTGTTGCTTTATCTATCTCCTTCTACCTTGTACCTCCGCGGCAACTGCTGGGAGCTAGGACTATAGTGGGCTAGGCCTGTACTGGTGCCGGTTGGGGAACGAGTGGAGGCCCCAGCATTAGCAGTACCGCCTGGTGCCTTGCAAATGTGAACACCTACACATAGAAGAAGGGAGAGTGTGAGTTTGAATGCACCAAAGTGTTTGGGTGACAATGAGCAAACGAAGTGAGCAAGAAAGTAAGAGTGAAAGAGAAAAGGAGGGTGACCACATGAAAAAGGGTGTGTGCACGAGGGAGGAGAAACACACATGCATATATGCATGTGTACGTGCATGGGGGTGCAGAAGGCAGTGGGGTAGACACTCAGTGCCCCCACAGTACCTGGGAGCTGGGCATGACTGAGAGCCTGGGAAGAGGATAAAGAATGGAGAGGGAGAAAAGGAGTCTGCCTAGTCATTTTTGAGTGTGTGTGAAGAAGGGGTACAGTTGTGGGAGAGAGAGAAAGACACCTAAGGAGGGAACGAGAGCAAGCACATCTCCAGGAAGCATGCAGAGTGGAAGCCGCGGGATGGAGGGATGGAGCTGAGAGAGGTGAGTGTGCAAGAGGAAAGCATGCAGGTGTGTGAGCCTGGAGGTGTGCGTCCGCCCCTGCAGGGCTGTGTGAGACAGAGGGAGGCCACGTGTCTGGGTGACTGCGTGGGTACATGCATGTGCATCGGGGAGCATGTGACTGTGACAAGTGAGCACAAACACGAGGGTGCGAGCACACTGTGAGGTGTCCCAGGGGCTGTGAGGCAGCATGCCTGGCCCTGGGCATTGTGGCAGGGGGTGGCAGGGGGTGCCAGGGGGTGTTGGTGATGCTGAGGATGTTTCCACACCAGAAAGCTCTGAGGGAACTGTATGACCTGCCCCGTGTTGGCTCAGATCTGGATGACCACGGTGGCTGGGAATGTTGGCCATGTTGCCCCTATCCGGAGGTGGGTGTGGGAACGAATGAGCCACTAGGCATGGCTGGCCCTCACTCTGCCTCACCTCTGGGCAAGACAGCCAGGAGGGGAGACAGTTCTTGAGGGCTGGATTTTTATACCCTCATTATGCAATTGCCTGTAGTGCTCATGGGCTCCTTCTAAAGGCCTAACACTCCAACTCCCTTGGCCTACAAACCCCCATTTCCTTTTATGTCCAAGTTGCAGTACAGGTCAGTGTCCTTTGCAAACATTTGTGGAAGTTTACTCTACACCAGGCTGTGGTGTAGAGTAGAATTCCACAAATTCACAATATGAATTTACCCTATTCACAGTGCCAAACCATCCCCCAGTTTTTTCCCATCCCTCTCTTCATGGCTTTAATTGTCTTCACAGCACTTACCACTATTAGCCAAACTATGTGGCATGACTTACTTATTTGTTGTCTATTTTTGCCTTAATAGCAAATGTCTGTACAGCATTTGCTACATGCCAGGCACTGTGCTAAACTTTCTGTTAATTTACTGAATCCTCTAACAACTCGACACAGCGGTGAATATCGTTCTTGTTATATTGTGAATGGGAGGCCCAGAAGGATTCAGTAGCTTGTCCATGATCATCCCACTGGTAAGTGGTGGGGCCAAGCTGAGGTCTGGAGTCCCTGCTCTTGACCAGCACATAATCCTGTCCTGGGAGGGTGGGCCATTTTTTCATTTTGGATTTCTATTTAATCTCTAATGCTTACAACAGTGTCTAGCACACGTAGGTGCTCAATCAGTAGTGACAGAATGAAGAAATGAGGGAATACATGCTGGACATGGAGGATGCAGAGATGAAACAGAGAGGCGCTTGCCTTCAGAGAGCTCATGGCCCCGTGGAGGAGGCAAATAATTACTGCAATCCCCTATGAGGACGGCATCATGGGAGTCTAGAGGGTCACACAACTTGCTCAGCCTCTGCAAGCAGGACTTCCCAGAGGAAGGACACAGATGGGGACAGGCACAGTGACACTGTCTATCTCCTCCAAACTCCTATCTGGCACAAACACACCTTAACTCTTTCTGCCTCAGTCCACAGGTTGCCAGAAGACGACAGTAGTTCCATGGGGACAACAGAGGCAGAACAAGGTAGTGGTGAGGACATGGGCTACTGAGAGAGACTGCCTGGAGTGAATCCTCCCTCTACCAGCTAAGTGACCTTGAACGGACTGCCTAAGCTCCCTGGGCCTTAGTCCTCTCATCTGTAAGATGGGGGTAGCAAATGACACTGATTTCCTAGGATATTACATGACCAATACTCTTCTATTCTACACTGGTTGCTGGTTTTCGGGGAGAAATGGGAGAGAACATTGGGATTAACATATTATGCTAATTACTGCAAGCCTCTCTGCTGTGGCTTCATCCCATTTTGCAGAAGCAGCTCAGAGCCAAACTTGTCCATGAACTTTCCTTAGGGAAGGGACTATGTCTGTTTTATTTACCACTATATCTCTAGCACCTATTACAGAACCTGAGACCCAGCAGGTGCTCATAAATACTTGAGTGAATGACTGACTGGTAAAATTTATTTATTCCCCCAGGACCCTTGTGAGGATAAATATTCATATTGCTATTGTTTCTATTCACAGTTGAGGGACTAGAGCTCCAGCAAGGTTAAGTGACTCGTGCGTAAACACACAGCCTGAAGCAGAACAGGCAGACTCAAACGTCAAACCCCATGCTCTTTCGTCCTCCACACCGTGCTACTCTCTGAACTCCTGCTCATCCTGTCCTATTTTCTGCAGATTTCTTCTAGCCAGTGGGGCCATCCCTGATTGTAGCGTCATCTCCGAATTCTATGACTCATATCTGAATCACAGAACCGTTTAATAGTTGAAGGGAACTTCTGATGTCATCTGGACCTCCCACCCATTGTGGAAATTTCCTCTCCACTGTCTATCTATCCAGTACTTGAATGCCTCCTGTGACAGAACACTCATTTCTCCTTCTGGAATTATCGAGTTCTATGACTGGACAGAGTTCTGTGTCTATGGGCCAACACGCCTGTCTTTAATTTCAATGCCTTGGGCTTACGTCATCCTAAGATACACAGAATAGATCTGCTGCTCCTTCCACAAGACAGCCATTCAGATATTCAGGCAGTTCTCACATCTTTTCAGAGAATTCTCCTCTTCTACGTCCGTCGTAGACTATCTCAACAGGCTGTCTGAAGTGTTTTGAGCAATGGCACCCCCTACTGGTTAAGGTATGAACTGCACCAAAGGGCTTCCTCAGGAGCCGGGGCACTGAGTGTGTGGTATGAATAAAATACCACTTATTTTGAAGAGTCATTGCTTTAGACTCATACCTGATTGTTTCCAGTGTCTGTCTTAAAGAGTGTCACATGAAGACTCCATTCTAAGGTTCCTTGCCAATCATGAGGTCTCTGACAAGGTACAGGTTTGGGATTTCAAAGTTAAGAGTTCAAAAGACTTTTCCTCTTCTTTTTTTTTTTTTTTTTTTTCTGGACGGAGTAACGCTCTGTTGCCCAGGCTGGAGTGCAGTGGCGTGATCTTGGCTCACTGCAAGCTCCGCCTCCCGGGTTCACGCCATTCTCCCGCCTCAGCCTCCCGAGTAGCTGTGACTACAGGTGCCCGCCACCACGCTCGGCTAATTTTTTTGTATTTTTAGCACAGACAGGGTTTCACCGTGTTAGCCAGAATGGTCTTGATCTCCTGACCTTGTGATCCGCCCGCCTCGGCCTCCCAAAGTACTGGGATTACAGGTGTGAGCCACTGTGCCCGGCCCAAAAGACGTGTCTTCTAACAAAATGTTTGGAAGGAGAGATATAAAAATACATGCTGTGTTACAGGATTATGGTGATTTTTCTTTTTTCTATTTGTATTTATTTTCTAATATTTTGACAGTTAACCTTTTGTTATACGAAGGAAAAGAACAATAAAAACTTACTAAAAAATGTGAAACTCTCCCCCCCACCTTCTTTTTCTTCCTTCTGAGGCTATTTATCATGGCGTGGGTCATGGGGCTACAACTGGGACAAGCTGCCACCCTGTGGACAAGAGTGCCTTGGTAATGTCTCCACGGTGGCTGCTATGGCCTGGCTCCCTGCAAGTGTGGTCAACTGGACTCAAGCAGCACAGTTTCACCCTCGAGCCCGGCTTCTCAACAGGGAGGTCAGGTAGTTCTCCACATCCCCCACCCCATCCTTGGCTCATGCTGCCTTCAGGTTTTGTTTCCTATCCTAACCTCTTGAAGTCAGCCCAGCACTGAATGGTCAGTGGTCATTCCCTAGGAGCCCCGGACTCCCCAGCTCTTCATCCTTCTCTTCACTTCCTAGCACACCCTCAGTGGCCTGCTCTTCCCTCCATGTGAGCCTAGAGCAGCTCCAAATGATAACAGGTCAGAAGGCATCAGGGATTAGAAAAACAAGTCCCCATTTAAACGAAGAGCTATGGAGCAGCCGCATGGTTTTTCTCACTCAAGTTCACAGCTAGCTAGGCTTTACTCCAGCGCCGGCATCAGCCGGGGCATTCTCTCTCCGCTCTGAGGTCTGGGAGGACCTGGGTGCTGGGAGGACCTGGGTGCTGGGAAGACTTACCCGGTAGCTTCTCACTGCAGCACATGTCCAGGGCTCCTCCCTCGGAGTCATCAGCAGCGTGGTTCTCTCTCACACTCCTGCAGCAGGATGGAAAAGGTGAGATGACGCTGTTGAGCCAGAATCAAGACAAAAACCTTGAGCAAAGATAAGAAGCCTCCCTCTCCTGTATTCTATATCCCTTTGGATAAGTCCACCCCATCAAAGGGACCTGAGGAAAATATCAGCCTATTGATGGGTCAAGCTGCAGAGGCAGGAGCAGAATTTTGCATGTGTCTTCCTTGTGGAATCAGTGGCAGCAGTATCATCACAACCATCATCATCATCATCACCAATCATCATCTCTACCACAGAAGGAGGATTTACTATATACAAGCACCTTGCAAACTTTACCACATTAAATCCTCACTATGACCTCATGAATGAGGGATCACTAAACAGGCTCAGAGAGGTTAAGTAACTTGTCCAAGGTCACACAGCTCAACAGAATACAGAGGAGTTTGAAATTATGGCTTAGGACTCCGGGCTCATGCTCTCGCTGCTGTGCCATTCTGTGTCCTAGTTCCAGTGGTTTTGAACCATGGGTGGACAAGAAGAGGGCTCTGAGTAACCCACCATCCTGTGTCCAGCTCTCCAAGATGTGCAAGTCCCCTCTGCCCCAGGCAGTGAAAAGTGGCATGCAGAACTCTTCTCCAGAAATAGCTACAAAAAGTAGTTACATACATGTTTTGTATAGTCTAAATGTTTCCTTCCTGAAATCAGACAACCCTCTTTCTAGCCTATCAGGGCACCTTATAGGACAGTATGGGGGTCTAGTTTTTCTCCTTTACCTGGTAAGCTGGAAAAAGGTTGCTGGAGATCAGCCAGACCCCATGAAGCATCTTTAGATATATCTTGAGAGCACCCACTTGGCTCACAGGGGTTCTACCCTGGGAATGGCCTGAAATGCCGCGTGGGCTCTAGTGGCCTTGTCTGCCTTTCATGTCTCTGACCCTTGGCAGTAGCTGATGACTGATTCAAGGCTGGACACACAAACCAGGCTGGGTCAATCAGATCTTCTCCCTTGCACGTTGAAAATGCATTCTGGTGCACTTTGCTTGGCTGAATCATGAAAGCCAGAGTGCCCCGGAGAGAAGACCTGCAAACATCTGCTGATGAGGGCCTGAGAGCCACGTTGTTCCCATTTGTACTGAGTCTTGGACAATATGTCCGTCCAGACCACAAGATGGCCATGGATCCTTCCAATAAATCTCCACATTTTAGCTTATGCCAGTGGGATGTGATTTCTGAAACTGGCAACCAAAAGAACCCTTGACATAGCCTTGCTAGCATACTTCCAGGAATTTCAGAGGCTCAGCTGCCTCTCTGCCCCTGAGTCCTGCTATCCTGCTTCTTGGACTGGCCCTGGGGCCTGTTTCATGCCTAACTCCAGATTTTAAATAATTAAGGGCAGAAAGGCCAGGTTCAGGGTGTCCCTTCTCTCTCTGATACCTTCTTTTTCAACCGGCATTCTATTATTTTATTTTTTCCTCAACCCAATTGCCAGGGTCTCTGAGAATCACAAGTCCTAGAGCCCCCCAGCACTCCTGCAGAGAGGTCACTTCCTTCAAGGTAACTTTAAGCGCTTTCTTTAAATGTCTCTGGAGTCCCTTCATCTTTCTCCCGCCCCATCTTGGTCCCAGTCACTATTATCTCTTGCCTAGATTGCTGTGGCAGTATTTTAACTGGCTGCTGGCATCCACTCAGGCTGGCCTCCAAAACATTCTCCACATGGCTCCAATGCTTATGGCATAGAAAATCTGTGCAGTTTACAACCTGCACAACTGGATGTGGAAGTCCCCTCTGCCCCAGGCAATGGAAAGTGGCATGGAGAACTCTTCCCCAGAAGAGAGGAGCCAGAATCAATTCCTCAAAACTCAATGTTTATCACACAACCTTTCTTGAAAAAATATTTTCATGGCATCCTTATTGTACTTAGGACAAAGAGAAAAATCCTTTGGCATAGTTCACTAGATGTTGGGTGGTCTGGTCCCTGTTGATCCCTCCAGCCTCACCCCATGTCCCTCTCCTCCTTGACCTCTGCACTCCAGCCACACTGGGAAGGCTCTTTCCTCACAGTGCCTTTCACATGTTTTTATCTCTACCTATTACCTAGAGAGGTTCTCTAGCTCTACCTCTTAGTACTTTTTACTCATGGTAGGCACTTGACACAGTTAGAAATGTCACTGTAATTTATGCCATTATTCAACACCTGTCTTCATCATTAGACTGTAGCTTTCATGAAGGCAGAATCCACTATTTCTGTTTTATTTACCATCATATCTTCAAAGCCTCGCACAGTGCCTGGTTCGTAGCAGGATGTTCAATAAACAAACACTTACGGAATAAGTAAATGTTGACCTGATGTTCTTGAGAAAACATTAGGAGCCTCAAACACAGCCATCATCTGAGCTGCTTTGTGGATGGGTCTTTGCTAAGTAGCTGGGAGCTCTCCTCCATAGCTATTGTCCACAGAAGTCAGAGAATCACAGACCTGGAAGGCCTCTCATTTTACAGAGGAGAAACTGAGGCAGAGGTTGGAGTCTGACTTGCCCCACATTTTATATTGAGTTGGTGGCGGCCACAGGGATTGTGTTTGAGAGCGGCCATAGGGATTGTGTTTGAGAGCACCCACCCCCAAACCTCCAATCCTAAACTTGTTCTTTCCTTACCCTAAAGAGCACCCAGCTGGACGGCAGCACCATGAGGGCTGACCCCTGGCTGGGTACAGAAAGGCACAGTATCCAGATACCTCTGGAAGGGGACCCATGTATGACTCACACCTGCTTTCACACCTTAAGCCTCTCAGGCCCCAAGCTGTGTTCAGAATAGCTCAGTGCTGCATGTGTGCAGTGGACTCTATAAATAAGCTTCCTAGAAAATGACTAATTTCATAACCAGAAAAGCAGAACGAGTAGCACCTCTTGACTGCAGGGGAAAATGGAGCAAGAGCCTGCTGCTCTTCCCTGTAGTCGAAGGACTCCAGGCAACACCAGCCAAAGCCTGCATGTCCAGGCTGTCCAGAGGAGGGTTTAATTAGCTTTCCAAAGAAAATAGATGGCCCATTCAGGCTGGATGGGGAACCCAGTCTCTGGGCGCTGCCTTCCTCCCTCCCCACCAAGAGCAGAAATAGCTGATTTTATTGGATTGCTACGGCTCCTGCTCTCTCCTTCCCCACTTCTATCAGCCAGGCAAGAGGAACAGAAAACCAGCCTGTGACAACAGCAGCCACTTGCTGGGCTGCCCCCACCACTGCTTCCCTTATACCCAGAGAACACTAGGGATGAAGGGACTTGGAAATCACCCAGCCTGCCCCCGCTTCACTGATGGAGGATGTCCCAGAGTGAAAGCAGCTTCCCAAAGCCATCGTCACATTCAACAGGCATGTGCTCAGCACCTCCTGTGAGCAAGGCCTGGAGCTGCCCTAGGAATACAGTGATGAATAATCCAGGTCCCTCCTTGCAGGCTCCCAGTCTTCTCAGGGAGACAGACATGCAGACACGACCGTACCCTGATGCCTGCTTTAATCGATGTATGCATGTGACCACCTTGGGGAAGGCTCTGCTCATTTGTGGGGAGGGGCAAGGGGAAGAGGAAGTCTTCTCCAAAGGGGACACAGGAGCTGGTTTTAATGGTTTTTAAATTTAATTAATTAATTAATTTTTGAGATGGAGTCTCACTCTGTTGCCCAGGCTGGTGGAGTGCAGTGACGCTATCTCAGCTCACTGCAACCTCTGCCTCCCCGGTTCAAGTGACTCTCTCCGGCCTCAGCCTCCCAGTAGCTGGGATTACAGGTGCCCGCCACCACGCCCAGCTAATTTTTGTATTTTTAACAGAGACGAGGTTTCACCATATTACTCAGGCTGGTCTCAAACTGCTGACCTCAGGTGATCCTGCTTGCCTTGGCCTCCCAAAGTGCTGGGATTACAGGTGTGAGCCATCGTGCCCGGCCAGGAGCTGTTTTTTAAAATATGTTTTTAGGTGAATGAGGGGTTGGGAAAAGGATTTCTTGGGTAGAGCAAATAGAAAAAGTGAGGCATGGAGACCCAAGATGTATGGAACATCTGGTGCAATCAGAAGTAGGCTGGTCAGTGGGATGGAGCAGCAGATGGGGGCTAGGCCTCAGCAGAGGCACGTGGGCAAGAAGCAGCCTAGAAGCCAGAAATCCTGCCTCCCGGGGCCGGGGGAAGCCCTCTTCCACTTGATCATACGGCTTCCCTGTGGTTTCCCTGCACTGAGAGTGATGCTGGTTCTCTCACACCTGGTCTGGCTGGGTAGGTCTGTAACAGGAAGTGGGGGAGCAGCAGCTTATGTTTAAGGAATGGACTTTAGACCCAGCTGGTAGCATCCGATCTGGTCTGAAACTACTCTACTGTGCTAAAATTCCCATAGCATAAAATTCAACATTTTGACCATTTTAAAGAGTACAATCCAGTGGCATTTAATACATTCATAACATTGTGCAACCATCATAATGATGTGCTTCCAGAATATTTTTGTCACCCCAGAAGGAAATCCTGTACCCATTAAGAAGTCACTCCCTGTCCTCCTCCCTCCAGCCCATGGCAACTGCTTACCTGCTTTCTGTATCTATGGGTTTGCCTATTCCGGATATTTCATATAAATGGAATCATAAAATCTGCAGCCTTTTGAGTTTGGCTTCTTGCACTTAGCATAATGTTTTCTAGGTTCATCCAAGTCCGTAGCATGCATCAGTACTTCATTCCTTTTCATGGATTCCTTTTCATGGCTGAATAATATTCTACTGTAGGATGGACGATGTTTTATTTATCTGTTCATCAGTTGAACATTTGGGTTGTTTACATCTTTTGGCTATTTGTGAATAGTGCTCCTATGAACCAAACTGCTCTGGTTCCACTCTCCTCCCATCACGCTTGTGGTTTTGGGCAATGCTTTCTGTGCTCTGGGTCTGAGGCCTCACTTATGAAAATAAGGTGGTTGAACTCTAAGCCCATTGTAACTCGAAAGTCATCACCTTCCTTGGCTCGTTCGTACGTGTGAAGGTAATGTGTCGTGCAGCTACGCCACCAGTGCTGGGTGCTGGAGACCCAGCCTAGACCACCCACCCCATTTTCCAGAAGCTCACGGCCAGTGCAGAAGACATAGAACAGATGCTGCTGTGGGCTGGGTGAAGTTCTAATAGAGGCACCGCCCCTCTGCCTGGGGGGTGGAGCGGGGGATGGGGGATGCTATTAGGAGACATCCTGGAGTCTTCCTTACATGAGGTCCCAGCTTTGCCCAGGACTTATGTAGAGAAACAGCTGGCTGGTTTGCTGAGCCAGTCAGGGAGCCTGAGCCTTCTTCCAAGATAGGTGAGGAGCAAGGGGGAACTAGGATGCTGAAGCCAGGATTCCTGGGTGTGAGGCTGAGCCAAGCCCAGGCAGACATGCCTTCTATTCTGGGCTTTGTGCTCCTGGTACCCCATTAACACCCCTCACTATCAATGTGGGGCTCTTATCACCCTCTTAGAGCTCCAACCCCACCTGACATTTTTATTTGCTGAGTTGAACCTGTCCATTCCTCCTTTCCAGCCCTGTTTGTGCCGTTCCCTCAGCCTGGAAGATCCTTTTCCCCTTTTGTCAAATCTTACTCATTCTCCAAGGTGCGACTCAGGCGGTACGTCTCCCACGGAGCACTCCCTGATCTCTCAGGAAGAACTGCGTCCTCCCACTTCTGGGCTCCCCCACACACCTGGTTCATATGTCCCTTTGTCTCTTACTTTGTTCTGCTGCTATAGTTAGCTGTTTATGCACCTGCCTCCCCCACCAACTTCCGACTTTGGAGCATCCTCACCCCCCTCAACCACCTCTGCATCCCATGTGTTCAGCACAGGGCCTGAGCCTGTTGATGTACATGTTAAAGGCCAAATGCGGGGTAGTGGCAGGGTCTCAGGGTTGGTAGCTTTAGGGGCTCTAGGAAGGCAGATTCCAGCTAGGAGCCTCCCAATTAAAGAAGATGGCCAAACCACAGCCAGGAAGAGGCCCATAACGCCATCCAGATTTTCATCAGCATGTTCAGCAGGCAGGGGGCAGAGGACATGCTGGTTTCATGGAAAAGGAATGATCAGGATGACCACCTCATGAGAATGAGTCATGTGCCCCAGAGCATCCAGATGGAGGCTTGGCCTCCTCAGTGGGTGGGCTGCAGGGGGACGGCATAAATGCTCACTCACCTGGCTCCCTCATAATTCATTGCCAAGGTGTCTGGATGGGGAAGGGTGCCATCTTCCAGTGCAGGAAGCTTTCTCAGCAAAAAGCAAGCTGGAGATATAAATGAAGGAGAGAGGGCAGTTTCAGATCATCCAGATGGGAAAACAGGGGCAAAGAGAGATTAAGTGACTAGTCTCCAGTCACGCAGTGTGCCAACAATTTGTTTTCAGGTAGTCAAAACCCTGATTTCCTGTTGGGAGTCACCTTTCTCCTCCCCTGGTGCCCTGCTTGCCCCTTGCTACAACAGACAGCCCAGAATCAGAACTCAGTTACCTGTTATTTGTATCATACACCGAAGCCTTCTAATAAATATCTTTTCTGCCTAAGTTACTCAGAGTCCTCTTCTGTTGCTGGCAACCAAATAACCCAGACTGATGCGTGCAGCAAACTCGTGGAATGAATAGGCTCTGAGCCCAGGACTCCCAATGCTTAGTTCACTGCTATTTCCATCCTGCCAAGCTGCCTACCCTCCTTGCCCAGCTGTCCACTGTCCAGCCATCTGTCCTCACGTCTGAGCAGACTGCAAACTTGAGTGTTCTGGATCCTAAACACAGGGTCTGAGTGTTCTCTGCTTGGGATGTGCCCAGACAAATGACTTCCCTTCCATCCCTGCTCTTCTCTGAGTGGGAGAAGCAGGGTGTGGGCATGGCAGAGACCCCAGGGAAGAGAAGATGAAAAGTGTAGGGTAGGCCCAGCCTGCTGAGGGGCTCGGGCAACAGTTGTCCATTTTTCATTTGAGTCTGATTCAGGGATTGGACCATTCATTTGTTCAACCCGTTTACTAAACACTTTCCATGTTCAGGCTACGTGTGGGACCCTGGGAATACAATGAACGACAAGCATCTCGTGGGGGATGTAGGTAAGAAGAAAAGGCAATGGCGACACAGGTGACCCGTGTGCGGGGAGACGAGCAGGGTGCCCTGGGAGTGCCAGCCAGACCCCTAAGGAGGCAGAGGACTCAGGAGAGTTTCGGTTCCCAGGAAGGGTCATCTCTGATGAGATGTGAAAGAGGAGTGGGGGGGAGAGGCTGTGGGATGAGACAGGAGGGGGTGGGGTGCTCCAGGTAGAATGAGGACATGCAGACAGGCCTGGAATAGACACAAAGCAGGGCACATTCAAGGACTAGAAAGAAATAGTCTAAAAAGGGAGTGTGGAAAGGGGGTGTGGTGTCGGATGGGACAATCTACTGAACCGAACCGCTCACTTGTAAATTTTTTCCTTATCCCTCCCCTTCTTTCCAGAGAGGTAAGGCAGACCTACACTCCCTTGGGAGAGACAGCTTGGCTGCAGGATCAAAGGCCAAGTTCCTGGAGGAGCTATCCTTCCAGTCTTTGTCCTGTGAAAACTGGAGCACCTGGGGATGGGGTGTCTCTTGGTCAGGGAGGTGGGGGTGTGAGGAAGGGGAGGGGGTCTCCGGGCCTGGGAAGGTGACAGAGCCCATCAGTTCCATGACTGGTGCCTGCTGTGTGGGTGGGTGGCACTGAGTGCATAGAGAGGGCTGGATCTCCGCTCCAGGGCTTCTGCTGCACCCCACACGGCACCCTCTCGACAGAAGACACACGGTCTGCAGACCCAGAGGGGCTCTTCAGGTGGGGCTGGGATATCTCAGCTATAATCAGCAGGGTTTCCTTGAAACATCCCTGGCATGGTGGTCACGGCAGTGGGTTGAGGTCACTCCAGTGATGACTGGGATTGAATTTCCTACAGGGTAGGGTTGCTGGGGAGCTCTGAGTCTGGACTAATTTCATTTAAGGAGCACAATGAGACATTTCTTCCATACCTGATATTAAGGATTAAAAAAATCAACCCGTTCTAGGAATAGATTCTTGCCTTGGGAGGCAGGAGACCAGCTAAAAGGTGGGTGTGGCAATCAGGTAAGTGATGGGGTATCCTAGCCTGGGACTGCAGCTGGGGACTGCCCCCTTGCTGGGCCACCTGCTCCAGTCACTCTGATTTCAGACCATAACTGTCTCCTCATCACCCCCGTGAACACGAAGCACATCCTTCCCATCACCCCTTTGCTTAGGCTGTCTCTCCTGCCTGGAAGGCCTTTGCACCCCTCCTTAAAATCCAACTCAGACTTTAAGCTCCAGCTTAATCTTGAATTGCTCTAGGAAGCCTTGCCTGGGGACAGGTCTTCACTCTGCTCTAGTCAAACTGTGTGGCTCTGGGAAAGTGTCTTTATAACTCTGAGCCTTAAATTTTTCTCATCTGTCTAACACGGATGACAATACCTTCCACACAGGATTGCGGTGAAGACCACCAGTGAATGAGAAAGGTGAATGTTGACTATCATGGTGACTGGTGAACACCAGGTGCTCAGGACCTGTGCAAACAACCAACAAAGGCACAGCAGAGAAGAGAAATGAGGGTGTTGGTAGTGGGGAAGCAGGTGGAGACAATGGATAAACTCCCAGGAAAGGGCTGGGAACCTAGCTTCTAGAAAGGGCAAAGGGCTTTGAACAATGCCAAGTTGTCTGGGGCAGCCTTTGGACAAGAGAGGCATCCCAGGACCATGTGCCTTCCCTTGCTGACAACAGAAAGGCACTGTTGGACCTGCAGGCGTCTGTGGTCTGGTCCAAAGGTTCAGTATGAACTGAATTTACCAGCTTCCCCCTGTACTCTAAGGAGGAGCGGGCTGGAGGGAGATTTGAGGAGCCCCCGTCCTGCCAAATTCCTATTGGGTGGGATGGGAGCAGGAGAAACACACACAGATTCTTTGCTGGCTTTGGCCACCCTGCTGGGACCAAAGTAGCAGGGGCTAGCTGCATAGGCAGCATTGAGAGAGAGCAGGGGCTCATGGCTGAAGCCAACACATTCTGTCCTAAATACATCTTTGGGGTGGAGGATCAGAAATTCACACTGATTCAGCTCAGACTCTGTGGACCCTCCCAGCCTCTTCTCAGGGCCACTCTGGCTTTCTTTTAAAATATACACTTTTAAAATTTCATGGTCAGATTGGTGAGGATGGAAGGGAATAGGAGGAGGCGATCAGGGAGAGGATGGAAGCAGCAAAAAGGGCAGAAGCAATCTTAGGGCCACCTGTTCAGTAACATCTTAGCCCCTGACCGAAGAGGATAACAATGACAGTATCTTCACAATAGAAAGGGCAGCTATCACTACTGCACCTGGATCACACAGGCCAGGCACTGCTCCGGTGCCTTGCATGTGTTAGCAAATTCAATCCTCACAGCGGCCCCTGGAGGAACCTGCTAACATTCCCCGCATTTTCTAGAGGAGGAAATGGAAATTCAGAGAAGTGAAGTTACCTGTCCAAGGCCACACAGCTAGTCATCACAGAGCTTCCCCCACTGCCCACATTCCTAACCTCTCTTTCACTTTTTAGCTTTTGGTAAGAAAAAATATTCTGCAAATACACCTCTGTGAAGAGACTGCACATCATGGCAGTCGCTTTCTACATGTTCTTTTAAAAAATCCTCACCATAAATCTATGTGAGTAGCATGTGATGATCCCCATTTTTACAGATGGGAAAACTAAGGCTCAGGGGGTGAAGTGACCCAAGTGAATGAGTGAAGGAGCAAGAGGGAGATCCCTGTCCCTGTGTTCCTGCTTGGGCTCATTGCTGTTCTCCCCAGAAGAATGACTGGAAGTCCTGCGCTGGACCACGACCTCGGGTTTCTCCACTTGAAGCAGCAGCCCAGGAAGCAGGCTTTGGAAGGCTAGCTTGCATGGGGAGTTTGGGAGGCTGGCTTGGGTGGGGAGCCTGTGATGGTGGCAGCTGTGTTCCATCAGTGCCGTGATGAATACACTCACTGGCCCTGGGCTCTAGTCCCAGGCTACTGTGTGACCTTGGGCTAGTCATTTCCCTTATCTGAAACTCAGTAGCCCCAAATGAAACCCAAACGGCCTGAATGAGATGACCTCTAAGGGCCTTTCCTTAGAGGTCAGGCTTCAATTCCGGGCCTGTCAGGTTTAATGAGGCAGAGGGTGGAACGGCAGTGAACCAGCAAAGGATGCTCACAGCATCAGGGAAACAGGCCTTGGTCCATGCAGCCCAGCCTTCAAGCGTGGAGGGCAGATCTGGCCTGAGCCAATTATTATTAATGGACAGAGTCCAGGTTCAGCTGTGATTTGATGCTGTGGGTGGTCCGGCCTGATTCTAAATGGTGCGGCAGTCAGGGACCCAAAAGATAGAAAGGCAGGATTTTGGAGTTCAAAGGTTATCTGGTTGGTCTGAACCTCTGTTCTCCAAGACTCTGAAAACAGTCCATTCTGCTCCCTCTCCTCGCACCTGCCCCCAGGTATGCAGTTTAATTTACAGGGAGAAAACAGCAATCACAAATGCAAAGGTGTGATCACACCTCTTGTGGGCGTCTTCTGATATTTCCATTCAGTTACATGTTTGCTCCTACCTATAAAGCCTTAGGATGCACTTTTCCCTCCACTAGAAAGCCCCTTTTTCCCTTCTCTGCTTGGAAAATTCTTATTTGCCTCTTAAGACTCTGTTCAAATGTCACCTCCTCAATAGAACCCTCCCCGACTCCCTTAGGAAGAACTGGGTACTCTGTCTTCTGTTCTTACCTCTTATGTGTTGATGCCGGTCTCCCTGCCTCACGCAGAGCTACCTGGACATAAACCTGTGGTCTATGATGACTGCAGTCTCCTTTTATTGCAGGTTTATTGTGTGCTGGATGTCGTGCCAAGCACTGTACATTTATGACATCATTCACTTCTCACTGTAACCCTATGAGGTAAACAGTCATCCTCCACCTACACGTGGAGATTGGGACTTAGAGAGACTAAGCCATCTGCTCAAGGTCATATAGTTGGTACGTGGCAGAATCAGGCTTCAAACTCAGTTTATATCAACTCCAGGCTTTATTTAAATCACAAGGTTTCCAGCATCTGACATGGACTTTTCTGTTTCCCATGTCCAATACTGTATCTGGCACCATGCAAATGTTAAAAAAAATGAAAAGTGGGGTAATGTTTGAACATTTACAAACGGCTCATTACATCATAAAAGGCCAAAACATCATAAAAGGCCAGGCATGGTGGCTCACACCTGTAATCCCAGCACTTCGGGAGG